GCAAAGAAATTCTTAAACTACAATACGGCATACTCCTAAATGAACCGATTTTTAAGGTGATGTATATACAGGTTGCCAAGTAAGAATTCAGAAAGTCGTGAGACAACAATTGAAAACTTGTAACGACTGATGTGACTGAAAAATTCAGGAAGAATTTTTGCACATTTCGTCGATCTCCACATCAGATGTTCTTCTTTGAAAAGTACGATAACTTGACACTCAAAATCAGTGAGTTGCTTAGCCATACGATAAGAGCAGAACGAAAGACGAATGTTGATGTAACCTTTAAATATAGGGTCCTCCATTAGGTCACTTAAAAAAAGCAGCATATCACGATGAATAAAGGTCCATAAATCAACGAAAACAAAGTTTTGTCTCAATATGTTTATGTTGTTATAGAGAGGAAAGACCAAAGTATTTTTTAAATATTTTTTTTAATTTTTTACTCCTTTTTAGCACGTAGAAAATTTTGGTTGAAAATTTTGTTTTTTTTTACGACAGCGCAAGAGGAGTAAAAAAAAGGTTTGTTTTATTTTACGCTTTTCCCGGGGGAAACACACGTTAATTAGGAAATTCTTGCAAAAATCAAATAATTGTCGGATTTTCATGAAACTTTCGGGACTTATTCAGAAATGAATGAAATTATTTTGGAAATTTTTTTTTATCAGAAAATCTTGTTAAAAAGATATTTTTTTTAACATGTTTCTACCCACTTACATATTTTGATGAAATTTCGAAATTAAATCTTCACGCGCGGGTTTTGTTTTATTACTTATAAACAGGACTCTGTAGAAAGTAAATCGCCAGTTTTTTTTTTTTTTTTTTTTTGTAAAACAGTACCCGGTTTCATAGAAAATCTGCTTTGAATTATAAGAAAAAAATGTAAAAAAGTATGACATTAATTAGAAAAGCTTTCACCTGTTTTTGTAAATACGTTATACTAAGGACATTATTTTGTGAAGAAATAAAAAAATTTTCGATGAATAATGTATTTTTTTCCCATTTTTAAAATTTTTTCATTAACTTCTTAATACTTCAAAAATCGTTTAAAATTCTTTATTGCTTTCAAGCATGAAAAAGTAAATTTACGAATCGAAATTTGAAAAGCACATTACAGTCGTTTGACCCAAAATATTTTAAAAGAATTTTAAAAAGAATTTTATTGAAAAAAACGTTCATAATTTCTACGTATGGAAATGTATACATGACATAATCCCTAAAAAATTTTAAACAATTATCTAATTAATAAAAAACTTTAAACTATTATCTAATTAAGAAAGTATGAAATAAAAAATAGATATTACATAATTGCTGAATAAAAATGTTAACATTTAAAAAGTACTAGTTAAAAACGAAAAACCGCGTTCGCTTACTTTGCAAAAATTGTCAATTTTGATCATCCATAGTAATCTGTCATCATCTCGTCACAATCGATTTCTTTGACACATCGTTAAGAAATGTTTGGATACAAATTTTTATGCTATAAGTAAGTAATGTTTGTTTCATATCAGATTAATTTAACTTAAAATTTTCTAATTTTACTCAAATAACATGTCAAAAATATATAAATTTATTTTAGGAAGAATTTTAAAATCAAAATTTTGTTTGTTTACAAATTTCTTAAAATTTAAGAAAATGGCCGCTTTTAAGAAAATTAAACAAAAATCGAGCATATATTTGACATTCCAATCTATATAATTTCTATCTGAAAGACACCAGAATATGTTACTTACTGTAAGTAATAAATTTAATGCTTTAGCTTTCAATTAATAACAACATATTGAGACAAAACTTTGTTTTTGTTGATTTGAGCCTTTTTTAATCGTGATATGCTGCTTTTTTACGTCTCCTAACGAAGGACCCTATTTAAATGACACGTCACCAGATCGAGCAGCAATTAATCAATTATAAATGAGCGAATCAGAGTTAGGTAGTTACACGAGAGGCAATTGATTCAAGGTCATGAATATTCAAGAAATTTATTCAATGTCAATTATTCCTGAAAGCTAAATCAGTGATAGTAAATTTGCCACTTTTTCTATTGACAACCTTGAAGAAAGTTTGAAAAACTAATTTAACTTGAGGAAACTACAAATTCTAAGTGGAACGCATTGGGCAAAGCGCATGTGACGTCGGCAAAGAAGACGATGAGTTGAAGACGATCCCAAGTAAAACGAGACGAAGTAAGTAAGAGAGAATGGCAGATTAAGTTCCAGAGTGGGGGGGTGTGAAAAAGTAACCACAATGCCAAAGAACACTAAACAGAAAAATTAGAAACAAATGTAAGCGGGCTAAAAAGGAATGACTTAAGAAAAACTGCGTGCAAATAGAAAGGATGAGCAACAGAAAAAAAGAGATACTCTTTACAGTGAAGTTCAACCTGTATAAAGCATAGGGGTGCACTCGAGGTAGAGGGTTACAGAATAAGAAACTCAATTTATGCGGATATGCTAGGAAGAGGACGGTTAACGCTAGACTTAAAGAGATTAAGATTGTTATGAGCGGGAAAAATCCTCTTGAGAGTTGGTTCCACAGATTAGTGGAAGAAGCTTCGCCAGAGAAACTTATTTGTCACCAACGGAATACGGACAGGTGTAAGGGTGTTTCGCTACAATGCGCGTAGCATTGCAGGTCTTAACCGTTAAGATCAGAACTGGTGGAACTAAACAATATAGTTCATCTGAGCACTTTCCATAGAAATAGCGATAGAGCAGTGAGAGACTTGCGACATTTTGTCTGTGGGGAAGAGGTTTTGGGGGGGAAATAACTCATCACACATAAGGACATGAGACGTTTTTGGACTCTATCGAAAATATGACAGTCATATGCCAAATATGACTGTAGTACTCTATTTTGTGCCTGATCTGGCTCTTGTAATGGTAGCGGGTAGCACGAGGAGTCAGGTACTTACTGGTGCGGTACAAGGATCCGACAATTTTTCCTGCATCTTTTAGCAATATAGTTCCACTTGGTTCATTTGAATCCCCAAAGTCGTTTAAGTCACGGCGTCTCATTCAATGTGACTAGTGATAGTTTAGGGTTCAACCGACTATGATGAAATGTAACCAGTTTTGTTTACAAGGTATTAAAGGTAACCAACCAGTTTTCCTCACTGAGCTGTTAAAGCTAAATCAGAGTTAAGATCAGGTGTTTTGTTCTGATAAGCTACAGTTTTAGAGGTGCATCAGTCTACCGTTGTATGATCAGCACAGATATTCACAAATGATCGCAGTATACTCTTAGCCAGGTTGGGCACCTCGAGGTGGTGTATTGCTTAGCAAGCTTGGCTCGCTAAGACAATTACGATTGAGTAGTGTATTCGATCCTCACTGGGTGCCCCTTAATTTCGGCCTTGTGCCACATCTAAGTTACGCTTGGAAAATCACTAAAGGGCACCTCGGCGTGGTGTAATTGTTAGCAAGCTACTGAAAAGTGAGTTCGATCCTCACTGGATGCCCCATACTTTCGGCCTTGTGCCACATCTAAGCTTCGCATGGAAAATGTGTATTCTTAGCCAGATCATTGAAGTGAAAAGAGAATTGGTCCGAGAAGAAAATATTAGCAACTTTTTCAATGTTATGTCCCTTCATGGCAAAGACGATCACGGCTCTCCACTTTTTTCTTTAATATCTATAAATTATTATAACTTATAGGGAAAGTTAGTAGAGATGTTTCCTGTAAGCTTTTCCACGGTATCAAATTCTGAGTAGTTCCTTTCCTAGACTAACTGCGACCCAATCTACACTTTTATTTAACCCATAGCTGTGGGAGGGGAAGATAGAATCACGAGTGTCCCAAGTAAATTTGTGCGAAGGCAAACGCAAGAAACTAGACTGAGATTTGAACATTGCTTTGTGGATACTAGTTCTCCGATGACGATTATCGACTCGCACATCTTGTCAGCCTCAGACGAATACAAATGTTTATTTGCATTATTTGCATTATTCGTCTTGTTATCCTCATCTTCATTGCCACATTCATAACGTTTCAGCCGTTGTACGCTCTGGCCTTCTGCAGGTGATTAGAATTTCAATTCGAACCCTTTATTTCGTCCACCGGGCAAGATTGTTCTAGTTCCACGTGCCATACCTCTTCCAGATGTCTCAGTTATTTCAACTCTCCAAGTTGGAGCAATGAAAATAAGGTAACAGTTCGAATAATGTAAATAATGCAAGTAATCATACCTCATCTCAGAGATATAGACATACAAGAATTTAAGTTAGCCTTTTCCTTATTGCTCTGAAATAAGATGCCAGGATTTTTAATTTTGCTTTCAAAGCAAATATTCTGCCTTCACTTTGAAGATTGGCTCAGCACAGGTTTCTGACCTCTATTTTTTATCCTTGGTATTGTGTCATATTAAGCTAAGCTTCTCAAAATATCAAAATACTAAAAGCTTCTGAGTAGCTCTGTACGTGGTGCTTTTACTTCTTACATCTTCAACGCAGTCATCGATAGGCGTCAGTACTTGTAAATTCTTTTCTCTCCAAGACAAGCAGTTGATCACCAAGGAAGCAATAGTGACAGAAGCGGGATTAAAATCGGTTGTAGGTGCGATGGAATCACGTCAGGGAAGAAGGCAGGGATGACAAACGATGAAGATAATGTTTTCTTATCTTCGTTATAAGTGGATGGTCACTATTATCCAATCACGTTGCGCGCTTCGATACTGCATTCGGTATTAGATGAGTCGAGGAGGAGGAAGAGGAGGGGGGAATAAGTAAAAGATGGTTGGCGGCACTGACTGGATCATGTCATCTTTTGCAGATTTGGCGATTTCTCAACCCACATATTTATAGGGGAGGAGCTAACGCTTATAAATGATTACAATTCTCACAAAAATCAAAGGTGGAATTTTTCACTTCTTTACCGTTGGTTTTCTTTCTAGGTAACAACTTGTTCACAATAACAACGACGATCCAGACAAGCCTGACGAGAGAAGCAAAGAACCGTAAAGATCTTCACACGTCATTATGGAGACGAGTATCGTATTTGCCGTTATGTTGATTGCCATTACTGTTGTATTTCCGAACGCCAATGCCTTACCAACTATCGATGCTGAAGACAAAAGAGAATCCAACTTTGCTACAAGAGATGTGAACTTCCCTTTGCAAGATGTGAGTCCTTTTTTTTTCTTTACTATTTCTCGTTTTTCTCGCTCACTTATTTACTTGACTATTCAAGTTTTCTATGAAACTTGTTCTTTATTTTAAACGTAAGGTCCTCACTAGTAATACTTGATTAGTCATTTTTGGTCAACATAATATTGACTTTAGTTTGGTTTGACTTTTGCTGTACGGCATATCAACTTTAATGGGTTATTTAATGCCGACAAAATTTTTATTGCTGGTAATATGCTTTTCTTCAAAAATCTATTTCTGGGAATATTTTTCCTTGAAAAAATCTATATCTGGTCATATTTTTTTCAAATAATGTATAACTGTTTGTATTAATGGTATTTTTTAAGTATTGCTGATAATAAGTTTTCCTTCAAAAATTATTGCTGGTAATATTTTTTTATTACAAAGTATTTCTGGTATTAAAACCTATTTCTACACAAGTTTGGGTGTTAACTATTTTTCCATAGCTGGAACCCTAACAGGTGCTCCCACCCCGGGTCAGGGTGGACCTGGGAACACCAGCAATTAAGAAGTGGTTCCACGCTTCTCAAAAACTCCTGATCAGAGGCCATGCTGTTGAACGTAGTTTATTGTGTTACTCAGGACGCGAATGTAGTTTATCGTTATACCCAGGACGAATAATATTGGGTTTTATCAATACTAACATCCATGGAGTAATGGATAGTGGCTCGGATTTGTGGAATCGGAGAGCCGAGTTCGAATTCCAGTCGAATCCACTACATTCACTTACGAGCTAATACTTTTGGGAAAGGTATGAATCCTCGTCTTCTTCTCTCACCCCCCAGCTATGGGTAAATAGCAGGACAAAACGGGTTCTATAGCCTTGGATTGAAACTGGTCTACCACGGAAAGAAATGGCAACCTACTGCAGGAAAAAATCTGCCTCGTCAGTCATGAATCGAAAGATACATGATCGCCTAAGCGTGTATCACACATGGCATATTAAGTGAACATGAAAGTAATTGAAGAAAAAGATGGAGCTTTCCACAAGTGTCTCGTAACCCGGGAAATAACTCATCTTTCATGGATTTGGAAGGCAAGTTCACATCTCGTCCCTCAAGTTCAAGTCTCGTTTTTTGTTAATTAAATTTTTGGACTTAAATCATGGAGGTATTTAGAGTTTGTAATGAAAAAAGCAACAAGCAGAAAAAAGATGAGCTAAAATTTAATCGTGAAAATAATTCATTTCAGAGTATTACTAATTCGACAAAGTATTCCCCAATGTTATTCTTATAATTAAACAACAGATTAAAATCCTTTTAATGGCGAAAAGTGAAAAGAGTAATTTTTTTTAAAAATCTGAAATAATCCGAAATTATCTCGAGCGCTTCTCAGTCCGATTCGCTTAATAAAATTTGATCAAACATTAGTTTTTTTTTTTTTTTTTGTGAAATACTTTTTGGCTGGTGCTAGAATTTTTCAGCATTATTTCCTTGACGTATGTTTATTTCTTATTGCTCTAAACGTTATAAGCCCCACTAAAGAAGATGTGCCTCCAGACAGCAACCAAACCCATATCCCCCATCAATGAAAATACTTTCAAGCTAAATATCCTTTACCAATTGGGCCATGGAAAGTATTCCTTACAAAGTCAGCCTCAATTGCTCTATTTAAAAAAATGCGCAAATATCGTTGGGACATTTTCATGTCGATATCAAATAACTGCTCAATTTTCGTAACATAAAGAGATTGGTTAGGTTAATGGGAATGCAGGTTCGATTCTTACCGATGCCAAGAGGAATACCTAATAAATAAAATGCTTATCGTAATAAGAAATATCAGATTTTTAATCCGACAGTATTTCTTAGTAATTTCTTAAAATTACTTGTCTATCTATCTATCTATCTATCTCATTCTGTTCACATTTATCTCAGTCTGTTCATATCTATCTATCTATCTATCTATCTATCTCTTGTTCATATCTATCTAGCTATCTATTTATCTTCTCTTGTTCATATATATATATATATATATATATATATATATATCTCATTCTGTTCATATCTCATCCTGTTAATATCTATCTATCTATCTATCTATCTATCTTACTCTTGTTCATATCTATCTAGCTATCTATTTATCTTCTCTTGTTCATATCTATCTATCTATCTATCTATCTATCTATCTATCCTCATTCTGTTCATATCTCATCCTGTTAATATCTATCTATCTATCTATCTATCTATCTATCTTACTCTTGTTCATATCTATCTAGCTATCTCTTTATCTTCTCTTGTTCATATCTATCTATCTATCTATCTATCTATCTATCTATCTATCTATCTCATCCTGTTAATATCTATCTGTATCTATTTATCTCATCCTTGTTCATATCTATCTATCTATTTATCTATCTTATCTATCTATCTATCTATCTATCTATCTCTATCTATCATCATTCTGTTCATATCTCATCCTGTTAATATCTATCTATCTATTTATCTATCTATCTATCTATCTATATCTATCTATCTATCTATCTATCTATCTCATTCATTATCTATCTCTATCTCTTTATCTTCTCTTGTTCATATCTATCTCATATCTATCTATCTATCTATCTCATTCTGTTTCATATCTATCTATCTATCTATTAATATCTATCTATCTATCTATCTATCTCATCCTGTTCACTTTTATCTCAGTCTGTTCCTATCTATCTATCTATCTATCTATCTATCTATCTATCTTACTCTTGTTCATATCTATCTAGCTATCTATTTATCTTCTCTTGTTCATATCTATCTATCTATCTATCTATCTATCTATCTCATTCTGTTCATATCTCATCCTGTTAATCTATCTATCTATCTATCTATCTATCTATCTATCTCATCCTGTTCATATCTGTAGTAATTGATTCCTCAACGAATCACTGTCTCAACACTTCTTCTAAAATTCACTGCTTCCTCAGGTCTCAATCACCAGGTAAAAAGTGACCGTTGATCATTCTAAGTAGCGTCCACGCTTGCGCTGTCATAGAAATCAAAAATGGCGACCCTCACAAACGAATCCAACATCGGGACACTTTGTCCTATTTATCATCCAGATATCTAAATCCCACATATGACAAGATTTACCAGATCTCTTTATTCGTGTAATTCTCCGAGGTTACATTTTCAGCTAGTCTCCAGGGGAAAGATCATTGTTCTTGTCCAGGTCTTTCAGGACCAGTTCCTCCTCATTATCGGGGGACAGAGTTACCGTTTTGTGAAACAAATGTTATTTCTCCACCCTCACTCTCGGACGCGTCTCATCCTCGTGTGGACTAAAGATTTCAGTGATACATCCGATATCAAAAGTTGTTGTGAATCTGCTCTGCGGGTATTTCACGTACACACGATCTAACGATTTGTACTTTAATATCTATCTATCTATCTATCTATCAATCTCATCCTGTTCATATCTCATCCTGTTCATCCCTGTCAATCTCTCTCTCATCCTCTTCATTTCTACCTACCTACCTATCTATCTATCTATCTATCTATCTATCTATATATATATATATATATATATATATATATATATATATATATATATATTTGATGGACTCTCCCGTCGATTTCGACGTATGAGGTTCCGACAACCTTTTAATGACCCTTATGTTTGAATCTAGAGTGACATTTCAGACCTGCTAATGACTTGCAAAGAAAACCACAGATTGGGCAAGCATGTGAGCAAAGAGTGTGCACTTCTCGGGCACCTTCTGAGGCTTTTTTTCCTTTCTCTTGCTTCACGGAGCTTGACAACGCTTGCCGCCGAAAAATTCCTGATTCCAGTGTAAGTTACACTTTTCCAAGCTTTGCGATCCAAGGCAGTATTCTCCAAATCAGTGTGTGCAATATTTGCAGCTGCAAGATTACTTTTCAGCTTATCTTTAAACCTGAGCAAGGGTCATATTATTACATATCTATGCATGTGTGCACAAAAAGAATTCAAATATTCTTATAGTTTCTTTTTATAATTATGATACGTTTATAGATGAGTTTTTGGAAAAAGAAACATTTCAATCTATGATATATTATTACAACTTTAAGGAACTTTCATAATTTCGTCATATTATCAAAATGTTTGTTTCATAGTGGTCACATATTCATAAGTCATTAGCTGAATTTGATAATTTTAATCGCATGAGTTAATTGAGTAATTGATTTGCACCGAAAGAAAGGAATTGGTTTTAGCAATATCTCGTAATAATACGCTCACTTATACAGAATTTTCAAATTCACTTTTGCTAATATAAGTACATTAACAAAAGGACAATTATTTCAAAAGTGACAAACAGATTCGACTAACAGCTTTTTGACAATTCAGCTGTGTATTTTAGACAGAGAGTAAACATGATGCCGAGATGTTCAGCTCATGCTACGAAAAGGCGAATCACCTTAACTTCTCTTAACTGAAATAATTTTAGAATTTCAAACAAGTACAGTAATTAGTTCTTTTAGGGACTATGAAATTATAGACTTAAGATAGCGGCATCACTAATCAAGAAAGAAATGACAAAAGAATGATAACTTACATCAGGTATGTAGCTATTAATACATGAAACAGAAATAGGCGACATGTGAATCAAAACTTAAAACTGTTTTATGTTCATTCATCACAAAGATGTGATGAAATTATATCAACTAAAATATGTTCTTTTTATCTTTATCAATAACCATTATTTCTGTCGGGAGAAATTTCTTGGGTTTGTTATCTTATGTCCTATATTTATCTATTATTAACTTTAGGACTTTATTTCTCCCATTAGTCCAGTGTTTGACTATTATTATCCTTAGAAGTTTATTTCAAAGACTACTGGAGTTCAGCCATTTATATCCTTCAACTTTTTTGTTCGCTCAGTGGAAATTATGAGTCCTGTGATCAATGATTTTTGTCCTTAGTATTTTATTTATTTGTTCTATGAGTTGTGGACAGATGTCTTGTAATTAAATATTGCTACGCTTCGATCGTCTTGTGTTCACGTATTGATGCAAAGTGTTCAGCTGTTGTTATCCTTTGCATTTAATTATAGTGACTAAAATTACTCTGTTTAGCAGCTATAACCATAAAATATGTATTTGATCAATAAGTTGATTTTTGCCCTGTGTTCACCCATTTTTATTCTTACATCCATCCTTGGGATACATTCAGCCATATATATATATATAAAAAAAAAACAATTTCCGAGTGGTATAAAACATATGTATCAAATGAAGAGGCGGATAAATTTTGAAAATTAAAGTAAAATATGTGGCGTAAATCCTGTTAAGTGTTTAGTGATTACGTGTTTACATGTTTACGTGATTAAGATTAATTTTAGGACTTTATTTCTCCCATTATTCCAGTGTTTGACTATTATTATCCTTAGAAGTTTATCTCTAAGACTACTGGAGTTCAGCCATTTATATCCTTCAAATTTTTGTTCGCTCAATGAAAATTATAAATCTTGTCCTTAGTATTTTATTTATATTTGTTCTACGTATTGTGGACAGATGTCTTGTAATTAAACATTGCTACACTTCGAGCGTGATTAAGATTTAAGTGTTTAGCTTTTCAATCAGTTTTTGTATCATTAGTTCAAAATTGTTATAAAATTTAGCAAAACTGGATCACCAAACAAACATAGCTTCTATCGGTTACAACTTTTATCAAATTGAAGAAATAAGGACTAATCCAAATCGCAAATTTTCCTTTTTACTATCGAAAAATGAGGACATTTTTTTAATTCTTTATATTAAAATATTTTGTTCATCTTTGTTCTATGCATAAAACACAAAGCAATGGACTCATAACCCTATTACGATATTTGCTAGAAATTTCTAGGATTAAACAAAAAAGATTTTACGCCACATTTGTTCATAACGATTGATAGGGTGATCTAGCAGATTACTTGCGTTTAAGTTAGGCATATTTCAGAAGTTAAATGAGAAAGGATTTTGAGTGAAAGGTGTTTTAGATTTCATTTCACTAAACACGTTTCATCAGTCACTAATTTGAAACATTCTCTACACTTGCAATTGTCTCCAACGCAAATCAAAGGTGAAGTGAAAGTTCATTTTATGTAACTTTTGCTCTCTCAGTCAGTCCTTGGTGGGTTTTTTTTATTGAACGGAAATTTTAATCCATATTTTAGAGTCAATCATAAATTGTGTTCATTATTTTCATTTAATCTCCTTCGTTTGTCGCCTTGCGAAATAAACGTTTTGCTGCTATTTCAACAAATCTTAACTTAGGAGAGCTTTTTTATCAACCTGTTATTTTTCAGTCGTCAGTTCTTTCTACCTTTTTTTTAGTTTTTCTTATATTTTCCGTGCTCTTACTGCCAAAAATACGTCTTCTTTCAAAACTGTCCCTTTCGCTCTCACTCTGTGTGTGTGTGTGCGCGCACGCGCGTGTGTGTATGTGTGTTAAAGAGTGAGACATTGTGTGTGAGTGTGTAGCTGTGGGGGTTGTATTAGCCACGCTTTCCCTATAAGTCTGTGAACTCTTACATTGAAAACCTCAAAATTTCATTTCCACTCCACCACACCCCCACTTATTATTATTATTGTTATAAAAATATTTTTTTTAATTTTTTCATAATATAGGGCAAGCGAAATATTTCATTTTTTTATTTTATTTTTATTTATTTTTATTTTTTGTCGCTTCCCCTTAATTAAGCAAAATATCAATATTGTTATCGATAAATGGAATGGACAAAGGTCTTTGCACTGTATTGGCTGTGTACTTGTTTAAAACGATTTTGTGGGGGTAATATCTGTAGATATGGCACACAAGGAATTTTGTTGACTTGTTCTTGAGTTCCTTTCTTTATCAGTTCCAAAGCTCCAGCCACACAGTTTTTTAATGCCACATTTTTTGTATTTCCATCTTCAGATATTTGTATTTGCTTAGTTTTTCAAAAACCTTCGTAGAAATATTTTTGTCACTCACGTCAGTCAGTGAGCAAACTTTTTCGTTTCTGTCTTTTACAATAAATAATTGCTTGCGTTGTTCGATCTGCATTGATAGAAAAATCCGAGAGGATGGTAAGATCTGCTTCCTCAACTACAGATTCATCTTGATGTTCATACCAGTTTGAGGCTGTGTGTTTCTTTTTCTTTCTTTTTTTATCCCGCCCTGATGACCGATCTTCCAATTTAGATATTAACCTCTACCCTTGTACTTAATCTCTGTGAGTATTGAGAATCAGGCGATAAGGTGATCAGTAGTTTCAATGTCACAGAAACTACATTTTTATTTCGTACTATTATGCAAGTAATGAGCATGATAGTTGTGTGAAGCAGACACAAGAATAAAACCCTTCAGTCTCATTATTAAGTCCTGAACTCCTTAGTGGTAAGTTGTGAATTAATCTATATCAGCATTTTTTGCTTCCGAGAATGAACTGATTATGTAGAGGCTTTTCGCTTTCATTTGAAGGATGCCTTTGCGTATTTTTTCTTTGCATATTTTTTTGCGAAGTCGGGTAGGTGTATAAGCATGCAACATATAAATGTTGCCTGTCTCTACACCCACCCGACTTCGCCTTCGCAGATACAGACGCAGGTAACATCTGCTTTAGGGCTGTGTATTCGATTGTATGTGTGTTGTTTGCGAATTTTTCAATTTTCATGAGATTCTTGAATTTCAAATTCATAAATTTATATACAACTTAGAGAGCAAGAGTGGTAATGGCCGTTATTATATTTTTGAATTCACTTCAGTTTTCTTTATTACATGCATTTGCCTTACCGATTTTTCATTTTATCTTCAGATATCTCATTGTACTGCCTCCATTACACCCAGAAAATTTTTTATGTACCTTCCTGGTTGAGTTCCTTACTTACAGTCTTTATATCAAAACTTATACTCTCACTGATGAA